TTGAATTACCGCCTTACTATTTCTACAAAGTTATTGAAGTGCTCATAAAGGCAGAAGATGGTTTGTCCCGTGATGTTGTCAAACATCTTAATCATGTAAGTATTAAAGTAATGTATGGGGATGACTAGCCTGTAGCATGGCCAGCACTGTTGTAACTGTACAAATGAGTCTTCATTGTGTATGAATAGACTAGATTAAGTATATCTGCACACCACAATATTGTACAATGGTATGTCAACTTCAACTTAGTTTGTGAGCTTCAATAAGTGCAGCTTTCAAAAGTACAAAAGAAAATGTCAAACTATTATTATTATTATTATTATTAAACCTTATTTTAATGATATCTTTGTGATAGATTGAAGAACAAGTCCTGGAATCTCTTGCCTGGACACAGGAATCCCCRTTATGGAATGCCATTGAATTGGCAGGGGGTGTGCCATCGTGTGAGGATGTAACRATACCAAACAATGTTGAATCCTCACACCCAACACAAAATCTCCTTGCATCACCGATTATTCATCCTAGAGTGCAGAGAATATCTGGTGAAGAAGGGATGCAAAGAAGAAGTAAGACACATAGTTGATAGTGTATTATATTGGTCATCAGTAGAGAGAGTGACAAAGGCCATGACATGATGAACATATTCTGACTTCAATTTATTTATACCTGTTTCAGTTGCTTCTCCATCATCAACTCCAGAACAATATTCACCCACTAATAGTGGTGCCAGACGAAATCTGATGGCTAACTTTGGTGGAGCAGCCCCAAGAAATGTTACAGTAACATCACAAAATAATGGTGCATGCGTTAGATCTGCTGCATCTATTCCAACAGCTCCAACCACTATCACAACAGGCTCTCCTGGAACTACCCCTGCATGTAAGCTTGTTTTTACTWTTTTTCATGTAGAGGATAGCAATAACAATATACTTTTTTCCTGTAGTTATAATTACACCAGCGGCATCCAATGGGAGTTACATAATCAATGGTAACATAAATGTTGCCCAAGCTGTAGTCCTACCAAATACTACTCCAGTGCAGGTYAACATCTCACCACGACCAGGAACGAGACTTGCAACAAGCTTAGCAGCACAATCTCAAGCAAGCAGTCCTGCTAGAMTCAGTGTGCCGGTTGTAACGCCACAAGCTCAGGCTCCTCCAGCMAAGCCCAAGAAAACTGGTTCTCTTGCTTTGTTTTATAGAAAGGTTTGTTAAATGATGTATAATTGATGATACCAAACATTATTTAACTCAGGCTTGAAGAGTCTTTTTTGCCCTGTTTTGATGGAATGGTTTATGTGGTTGTTACATCATTCTCTATATTGCAGGTGTATCACATGGCAAGTGTGAGACTCAGAGACCTRTGTGCTAAACTAGAAGTAAACGATGAACTAAGAGGAAAGTAAGTAGACTGTGAAGTAATGTATTTTTGCATGTAGTTACTGGTCATGTGATGCCATGTAAATTAGTCTGTTAGTGCTAGTTGGTCTAATAAACGAGCATTCACACAACAAAGCATCAGAGACTCTGGATATACATATGTTGTTATTCATATTAATATAATAGCGCTGCGCGGATATGCTAAAAATAGATTTGAGAGATGAGACTCCCCACGGAGGTTCGGACAAACAAGAGGTCAAGTTTGTAGTGAATGTATGTAGCGCGACCATGTAACTTTCAATTTTATTTAGATTTCTCTGTATTTTTTATCAATATGATCGGAACAAAGCACTAGCATTCACGATATACAGATAGAATGCCTCAATCTCTCAAAGAATTTAAGAAAATTGAGTAAGAAAGTATTTATACCGTTCTTCAAGCCTTCTCATGACCTCGAACCATGYCTACAATGGATCAATTCTTGTTCTTGTAGTCCAACAACATCAATAAAACGGTAACAACGTGGCTGCATCAGCCAAGCACAGATACTTAACACGGTTCGCATGAAGCGTGTATTACCGCTCCTCTATTGTATGGATAAAGACTAATACATTACGAGGCAAGTTAGTTTCATAATAATGGTCGCTCTTGCGTCTGTTGCCCTTGTTACATCGCACAAAACTTGAATCGATATGTTTTCGTCCGTTTTTAAAAGGTTTGTCCGTCATATGTCCAAGTCCTTCATCCTCTAGCGTATAGTTAGACTTATAGATAGTTTATTATTAAACAAAGATAAATCGCAGCCAAAGAGCTGAATTGTCCAACATACAGTTCATATATTGATATGGAAGCAATTAGATCGTCAGAGACGGCACATGGCCAGGATGGACAAGTTCCAAGTCAATTCGCTTTCCTGGCACTTTTTGACCTCCACATCTCAACTAGCGTTTTAATTGCTTGACAGCATAGTTGTCTGGATTATTTTGGAGCTTTGAACCAGGAAAAGCGTCATTTTCTGTCAAAACTTCTGCATTTTGGAGTGAGTTTAACGAGGCGCCTGAAAATTCCGCATACATTTCTCTTGTATTGACCTCAACGTTTGTCCGAATGCAAGCGGGGGGTCGAAATCTGTGACGTAATATCCGCGCTGCGCTATTATAATGTCAAATTGTGTTGTCATTATTTCAGGATGTGGACATGCTTTGAACATTCATTAATGTCTTATCCTGAGCTAGCAAAGGACCGTCATCTGGATCAAGTCCTTATGTGCTCTGTATATGTTATGGGAAAGGTAGGAATGTAATTATGTGTCTGTAACAACAATTTTATGGCCTTTTTTGCAATAGCTTTTGTCAGACAAGTGTTTTTAATTTCATTAGAATATTAAATACTGATTATTCTTTTTCYTAAGGTAACAAATTCAGATCTTTCATTCCAAAACATCATGAGATGTTACAGAACACAACCACAGGCAGCAAGCCATGTAAGTAGAACATTCATCAGCTTGACTGCCTCAATGGACTTAGCAGTTTGTTTCTCTTTCAAATAAGTAATACATATTTTATGTGAATATGTACAGGTATACAGAAGTGTTATGCTGAAGGCAAAACGAAGAGTACCGCACAGTGAAAGAAGTAAGTAATGCTAGTCAACCATTTCTCTTACTTACTTTCATCCATTTGTCATCCATTAAAGAAATCACTTCCTTATGCATTCAATTCATCATATTCTTGCTGACTTGATTGATTGATTGATTTATTGATTGATTACCTTTAGGTAACATTGAAAATACTAGTGCATCTAACAGTCCAACAATGAGAAGTGCTAGTGTCCCTCCTACCCCTMCCCCCAACAGTAGCAATGCAGAAAATGAGTCTGAAGAAGAGCGTGGCGACCTTATTGAATTTTATAACAAGGTAATRTGATATAACATTACAGGGTTTTGTTAAATCAAGGTCTAAAAGTTTATCAGTTGCTATTTAACAGAGTCACATTATAAAGAAGCCATTTCAAATAGAAAACATAATTTAATCTTTTCAGATTTATATCAAGAGAATAAAGAATTTTGCACTCAAATTCTCTGCAAATGACAGAAGTGTAAGTATCAATATAATATCTAAAACATCACTTACTCAAATGATGATTGAATTGAAGTCAGTATCATAATGTGCTTGAGTTAATGTTACAACTTCCTGTTTTTTGACAGTTGGAGTCTCCACCACTTTCACCACTACCCGTTGTTCGTAATCAAGCTCATTCGCCAAGACGACAGGTGTCAAA